GCCGTGCCGCGCCCCGCCCCCCGCGCCGAGCCAGTGGGCTCGCGCGCTGCGCGCCCATGCAAAGCCAAGGTTACGTCCAGTAACAGCGCACGTCCAGTAACAGCGAGGCGCGGCGCGGCGCCCTTGGGCGGGCGGCATACACACGTGCGCACGCCCGGCATTCTTCGACTTTGCAGCATGCTCTTGCTGACCATGCTTATGAGACACAGGCGCCCTCCGTCCAAGTGCATGGCCGGGCCCCATGCCGGCCCTGCGGCGACCGTCAAACTGTACTGCTGCACACATTGGGTGCGCGCGCCGCTCCTCGTAGCTACCCGCACGGACGGGGAAGAGGAAGCTTTCTTCGCTCACCGCCTACCCGCACAGCCGCTCCATCCCGCAGCAAGATGAGCGCCGGCGCCTGCGCGCCCGCCCGCCGCCACGCCGCGCCTGGGAACGCCGCCCCCGCCAGGCCGCGGCCGCGAGCGGCAGGGGCCGTTGCGAGTGCGACGCGGCGTGCCGCGGGCCCGGGGACGCGTGCGCATGTGGCTGTTTGGGATCGAGGCTGGTAGGCCCAATCGGCCAGCAGACGGTGTGATGCGTACGACGATAATTAAGAATGCAGCGGCCGGGGCCTCCCACACAGAGGCGGCGACGAGGGCTCGGAGGCGTGCAAATCACCGGCGCGACGAAAAGGGGCAGCGTTGGCGCCCGGTGACGGCGGCATAAGTTTGGGCATGGGCCGGCCGGCGGGCCAGGCGCTACGCCCCGCAGCGCCCCGCCATCGAGGGGCGCGGGCGCCGAGGTTTGGCTGTTCTCCGCGTAGCAATGCGGCCCCTGTTATGCGGGCCAGTAGCGGGAGAGTGTCGCCGCGGGCGGGGGCGGCGCAGGCCGGCCCTGCTGCCCGCCGCTCTTGGAAGCGGCGGGGCCCGCGGCGGCGGCGGGCGCGCGGGCGCCGCGGCGTGCGGCTGTTTGTTGCGCGGAGTGCACTGCTGCGGCGGCCGCGCGGGCGCAGCGGCGTGCGGCTGTTTGTTGCGCAGTGGGCACTGCTGCGAGATAAAGCAGCGCCGGGTCACATCGTGTTGAGGTGGTGTGCGAGGCAAGCTGACTGTCGCCCATGGAAATTGGTGCATCGAAACCAACAGAAGACAGAGGGACACAGAGTGCTACGCTACAAGGGCTCCAAATTGGCGGGAGCCGTGACTCACAGGGACGCGGCGCCGGCATGCGCCTGCATGATGCACATGCGCATCGCTCGCCGGGCAGCAAGTAGCCTTACCACCAGCGCACGCTGCGGCCCACCGGCAGCGCAAGCGACAGGCACGCGGCGGCGCCGCCCCCGGCCACGCCCGACCCGCCTGCACCCCATCCAACCTGGCTGCGCTGCTGTTGCTGCTGCTGCTTCGACCGCGCCAGTCGCTGCCGCCGCGCGCCGCCCTGCTCCGCCAAATCTGCCTGCAGCTGCGCCAGCTGCTGCTGCTGCTGCTGCTGCTGCTGCTGCACGACCGGCTCCGCGCCGCGCCTCCGCGAGGCCCCGCGCAGCTGCTTCCCGGCCCCCGCTGCCGCGCCGCCCGCTGCCGCGGCCGCGGCCGCGGCCGCCTCCGCTTGCCGCTGCAGCAGCACGCGGCGGATCGCTTCGAAGAAGCAGAAGAAAACCGCGCTGTTCAGCCCGTTGGACAGCGCGCGCGGCCCGACGCCTCTGAAGAAAGCGCGTGCGCCCTGGCCCTCTGCGGCGACGCCGCGCACGGCGGCGGCAAAGGTGGGGCGCGTGCTGGCCGAGCACATCATGCGGGTCTTCACCACGTCCAGCGGCGTCGTCGCGGCGGCGGCCGCGGCGCCGGCGCTCCCGCCCATAAGCAGGTCCTCGAGGGTCGAGGGCTGCGGCGGGGTGGAAGGTGCCGGGAAGCTGGTGAGCTGGTGACAAATCGCTGCCAGATGGCCGGTCAAGGGCAAGTGACGGGCCCGTGGCAGCAGGCAGAGAGCTGTGCCGCTCGAGCTGGGCCTACAGAGGCAGCAAGCGCAGGCCGCGGTCGGGGTCAGATCGCAGCCGAGAAAGGGCGCGCGCACCTGGCGCCCGTCGCTGACGCGGGCGTGGACGCAGCGCAGCGTCTCGTAGACCGCGAACTTCACGGCCATGTCCGGGACGTCCTCCATGATGGTGGGCAGGAAGCCCTGGGTGAGCGGCCGCGCGTTGCACGGTGCGGCGGTTGGTGGGGTGTGTGCAGGGCGCTAGGGGGCGACGATAATGCGAAGCATGCTTTGAAGGACCAGCGACTCTGCAGACCAAGCCGGGCGCTCGGTTCGCAGGCGCTGAGCGGGCGGGGGGCACGCCCTCCGCAAGGCCAGGCTGGGCCGTTCCTTGACCGGACGCAGCGGCGGGCCCAGCTGGCGTGACCCCGGCCGCGGGCCATGGCTGTCCGCAGCGGCAGCGGTTCTCACCGTGAACAGCCCCGAGAAGCCCGCCGCGCCCGTGATGGAGCGCGCCGCCGCGACGACGTTCGGGTACACCCCCGCCTGCACGCTGCGGATGCACACCGCGATGGGCACCTTGACCACGCCGCTGCCGACGGCGGCGACGCCGCCGGACACAAATGCCATCTGGCCCTCCCCTAGAGATGTCCGCTGCCGCAGGAACCGCTTGGTTGTGGAGTAGAAGGCGAAGTAGGCGCCGATGATTACGCCGGCGCCCGTCGCTGCGCTCAGGACGCCGCGGTAGAGGGATGCGACCTCGCGTGCCGCGCCATTGAGCGACAATTGGACGCCCTTGGCGGCAGACGCTGCGCCGGCGCGGCCTGCGGCGGGGACGGGCGGGGGCGGGCGGGGCGCCGGAGAGTTTTGGAGGGAGTGGCTGGCTTGGGATTGTGGCGGGGGCCGCAGGGGAGGCGCCAACGCTCATTTCGTCTCAATTGCTGGCGCGCCGCCGGTGCGTAACCGCGGCGCCCCGGGGCTGTAACTACTACGGCTCGTGGCACGACCCCGCCCCTGCGCAACGGCCGCCGGCGCGGCCACCACCGCCCTTGTTGCGACGAGGAGTGGTCTGAAGGGACCGCGCACCTGTCAGGTTTCCAGTCTGCATCCGCACTTTCATGGTGTCGATCGGGTGGATTGTGCTCTGGGACGCGGCGCGCGCCATCGCGCCTGCCACGACGTCGTGCGCGGGCTTGCTGTCTGGCGTCGACGGCGGCGAGGACGACGAAGCTGAGCTTATCGACGCATCTGGCGCCTTGACGGCCGTCGCCTGCAGGTCGCCGCGCGGCGGGGAGCATGGCAGAGTTTGGGGGGAAGGGGCGGGAGGGCGGGGCCGCGCACCGGTGCCTTCCCCACCGTGCCCCAAGCGTGGCCAAGACTACCACGCGTGTGCGAAATTAGAACAAAAAGTTTGCAATGGTCCGTTCGCGACCCTCTTCGGCACGATCACGGGGTCAAGGCTTGGCACTCCTCGGCCTGGCACTGCCATCAGATCGCCGCCCGACCACTCCGCCCGCCACTTAGGCCATAATGGTACAATGCTGCCTCAGAAAGACACACGCACCATGATGTGGGGCTTTCACGGCCACTTGGCGGGGCCTGAGCTGATCGGGGTCAGCGCCTTGAGAAAGCACCTTGCCTGACCTTGCCGCAAGGTTTAATTTGGAACCGCGTCGTATGCCTACGCCACACAAAACACCGTTCCGCTGCAAGCTGTCAGGATCGCCCGCTGGTGCCAAGGGCTTGGCTGATTGGAGCAGGCCAGTTCGAGTTGGCTGGTGAACGCCAGGTGTGCGAATGCTTTGACGGGTGAGTACGGTAGTGAACGCCACGCCCATTTGTGTCTTGCGCTTCATTCGGTCTGGGCACGGCATCCTGCACCGGTGCTGCTGCAGCTGCTTGGTCGCTGAGCCCGCCATTACCGTACTTCGAATTCATTTGACCCTCACCCGGGCCAGGCGGCACCCTTCCTCCTTGCCTTGATCGGTGCGCCACACATGATGGGGGCACCGCTTCATCCTCAGACAGTCAGCTGGAAGGCGGATGACTGCACTCAAGGGAGGAGGGCGCAGCCCACCAATCTCAGGCAACTGGCCATGTCAAAGCAGGTCTCCACAGTGACAGCACTCACCACTCAAAAAGGGATCAGCAACTCCGTGCTTGGGGTGCCACCTTTGTTTGCCGTCATGAAAGGGGGCTAAACAACCTCCACAACGTCGATCGCGCATGCTCGCCAGCTGCCTCCCGGGGCGGTCCAGCAACAGGGGAAGCTGCACTGCTGCCGAGCATGCAGTTGATCGCAACCACACGGCTGAGCAGGGGCTGTGAAAACTCTTCGCCATTCAGACGGTCTGCAACATACAAATGGCCCTGCCGAACCACATTGCCCCTTTGGGCATACAGGCGTCTGCCGGATTGCGACAACAGTCACGCAGCAGCTCTGCCTGCCCGCATTCCGGGGGTCAGCGTAGTGTACACACAGCATGCAGTGTGAAAGCATCCGATCGCCACGGTGTGCAATGCCCAGTGCTGGCCTGGCGCTCGCAATATGTTTGAGGCACTGTCTTGACTTTTTTCCTCAGTGTTTTGTGTGCAAGTAGCAGCCCAGTGACAGGCCTTGAAGGCCACATATTATCGGCAGAATCATATTTTAATGCCTTTTAGCAGGATTTGAACCCTTGTTGTGCAGCAGATTGATACACAAATGGGTCACAATATTGAGCTCGCTGCAACGACGCCAAAACCAAGCGCGCAGCCACCACCGCCGCCGCCGCCGGCGGGCGACCGCCGCCCGTCACGCCCCCGGCCCCGTCCACTCCGCGGCCTCCCAGGGCTCTGGCGGGTCCCGGCAGTCGAGCTCCGCCAGCCGCGCCGCCAGCGCGAGCGCGGCGTCGCGGCCGTCGCCCTCCCCGTTCTCCAGCGCTCCCAGCCACTCGGCAGGCAGCCAGCCGTCCCCGTGCAGCGCGCCCGCGAGCGCCCCCGCCATCGACGCGAGCGTGTCGGTGTCGCCGCCGGCGTGGGCGGCCGCCACGACGGCGTCCACGGGCGAGCCCCAGTGGCACACCAGCGCCCACAGCGCGGCGGCGGCAGCGCCGGTCGCTTCCATCTGGAATCCGGGCGCGATTTCCGAGGACACCTCGAGCTCGCCCTCCAGCCAATCCGCGGACTTCAGGTGGTCTGCCCAGGACGCGACGGGCGGCTGCTGAATGTAGGGCGCCTGCGGCAGGCCAGATGGAGGGGGTGTGGACTCTGCCCCGGGACGGTTGGGGCTCGCTGCTGCTGGCGGTGGCAAGCATGCAACTGCACGCCGGCAGACATGCCGAGAGGCCGTGATGGATGGTGCTTACCAAACGGTTGCAAACACTGCCTGTGGAGTAGACCCCTTGCCTGCACATGACCCCCACCCACCTTCTTCTGAACCTGTGAGAGCAGCACTTCCAACGTTCCTTTTGCCGTGTCCGTCTCCACGACATCAATGAGGTGCCTAAGCAGCCCCTCCGGCCCTGAGCCCTCATCGGCAACCGCGTCTCCGGCGGCGCCCTCCGGCTCGCCCCGCTTCGACAGCCAGGCGACGGCCGCCGCCTGCATCAGCGCGCCGTCGATCCCACAGGGGTGCACGTGCGTCGGCAGGAGCGCGGCCTCCACCGCCCGCGCGAGCGCGGCGCGCGGCGCGTTGCGGTAAGCCAGGCCGAGCGGCGCGATGCGCATGGCGCCGCCGTTGCCGTAGCTGCCGTCGGGGATGTGCATCCGGCCCGTCTGCCGGGGGTCGGCGCCGCGGCTCAGTGACGTCAGCGCCGAAAGCGCGCCGGCCGCGTACCCGCGGCGCGGGTCGAACCATTCGATGTAGGACGCGGCGATGTCAAAGGCGTCGGCTCGTCCGCGCCGCGTGAGGCTCGACGCGAGGGCCAGGGTCATCTGAGGGAGGTGGCGGCGTATGCGTGCGCTGGGTGCATGGGCGTGGTGCTTTTAGACGGTGTGCATGGCTTTTGCGCGGGGCTCGCGCCGCAAAGGGAGACACTCCTTTTGGAGGGTAGAAAAAGCATCTGAATCCGCGGGATCTGTGCTTACACGAGGGGCGCGGATGGAGCGCACAGCACCTGGGCACCGCCTGGGAGTTGCCGCCCCCGCACCTGTCCGTCGTCTGTGTAGGTGCCCTTTGACCCCAAGGATGTCAGGCCATCTGGGTACTGCTTGGCCACGTCCCAAGCCCAACAGCCCTCCACGCGTGCACCCAGAGCGTCCCCGCAGAGCGCCGCCAGCAGCGCGCCGCGGCAGCGCGATGCATACGCAGGGTGCGCCGCTGGGCCAAGGGAGGCGCTCACCATCATTTATCAGTCTGACGTGTTTCGTACTATATTCTATCGATCCTAAAGATCTTCAGTATCTGAGACTTTTGCGACCACGGCGGCTTTCGGCACGCCCTCTTCGGGACTGCAACGCTTTCCTTGACGTGTATCCTCTCAGTGGAACACTGAGAGACTACGGGTCTCCGGGCCGGGCCCCAGCGGCATATGACCGGGCACCCTCGCTCGTGCTCGCGGCCTCTTAACCCGCGAGAATTCTTTCTCCGTTCATTCCATCGGCTCGCTCTTTGCTGGGATCTGATTCGCTTGCCTGCAGCGCCGGACGTTCCTTCGGCTTTTTTCAAGCGATCGCGTCCGGAGGAACCTCAGGAGCACCTCGGTGCTACTCTCTGCGCTTCCAGAGCTTCTTCTACCCGGTGTCTTGGTTGCGTGCGCTGCGAGATGCGAGAATGTGCGCGCTTGGCACTTTGTCGTCAACCCAGGCAGTGCCAGCATCTGTCGGCAATTTCGTCACCAGCGTACGTCATCCGTATGCATCATGTGCCACGTAAGTTGCTGATCAGGCAATCTAGGCATTCGGTGCAGTGTGGGGCGCACAGGCCGCGCAGGCGCTCAGGGCCAACCAAGTAGCTCAGGCGTTGCAAGATTTACGTACTCGGTGCAGCGCTTGCGCGCTGTAGGCGCGCGGTGCCAATCAGGTCGCTCATTTGACGCTCTAGGGATACGGTGCAGCACGGGGCGCTCAGGGTCGCCTCGCTCGCTCACGCGTCGCACGCGTTCGGCCCGGCGGCGGGGGGGGAGGGCGCAGGTGTTTTAGGTACTCGGTGCGGCGCTTGCGCACGGGAGGTGCTGGGTGCGGGCCAAACCGCTAATCAGGCGATCTTGGCATTTGGTGCGGCTCAAGGTGCCCATGCTGTGCAGGCGCTCGGGGACGCCCCCCCCAAATTGCTCGGGCTGTGCAAGCCTTCGGCACGGCGGGGGCCGCTCCGGTGATTCAGGTACCCGATGCAGCGCTCGCGCGCTGTAGGTGCTCGGTGCCAACGGGTTGCTATTTTGGCGTGCGAAGGATGCGGTGCAGCGCGGGGCGCTCAGGGCCGCCTCGGACGCTCAGGCGTTGCCGGCATGCGTTCGGCCCGGCGGCGGGGGGGAGGGGGGCGGGGGCGCAGGAGTTGTAGGTATTCGGTGCGGCGCTTGCGCGCTGTAGGTGCTGGGTGCGGGCCAAACCCAAGTCGCTCAGGCGTTGCAAGCCTTCGGCTTGGCGTGGGCTGCTCAGGTGTTCCGGGGTGATTTTGCAGGCATTCAACCAGGTACCGGGCGCCAAGGCTGGCCAGCCACAAAGCGCAGCGGGGCTGTTCAGGCATTGCGTTCTCGGTGCTTCACGCACGCGGCATTTGGGTCGCACAGGCGTTAGTGTCAGCTCGGTAATGTGTAGGCGTCAGCGTGTCGAAGGCGTTACTGTGTAGGCGCAACTCGTGCGCCTCAAGGTGTCAGCAGAGCACGCTCAAGTGCGCAACTTTAGGCTCGTGCGCACCTACCGTATGCCGCCGACGCACATTTGCAAAGACACACGTGTGCCGCTGCAGGTGCAGGCGTAGGATGACGGGCTAAGCTAAGCAAACACTGAGAGCCCCCCGTCGCAGACGCCGTTTTATGCGTGAACATCCTCTCAGTGGAACACTGAGAGACTGCGGGTCTCCGGGCCGGGCCCCAGCGGAATATGACGGGGCACCCTCGCTCGTGCTCGCGGCCTCTTAATCCGCGCGAATGTTTATCTGTTCATTCCATCGGCTCGCTCTTTGCTGGGATCAGATTCGCTTGCCTGCAGCGCCGGACGTTCCTTCGGCTTTTTTCAAGCGATCGCGTCCGCTTG